GCAAACAAAGAATAATGCAGAGCAAACTGGAATAATGTTTTAAAGAATAAAAGGCTGTGTTGGAGGATACTGTAGGACCTTTTTGATTAATTCCGCTACATGGAAATATTCAGCAGAAGCTCCTGAACACCAACACATCTCCCTGAGGATGTTTTAGAAAGTGTGCATGTGTTTTCCATATTGATTGCATGGCCCTGTCCTCCAGTGTTTTCTGTCTGCGCGCTGCACTGCCTCAGTTTCCAGTGAGGTCAGATTAGAGAGGTTGCTCCTTAGTTCTCAGTTCGCAGAGCTAAAGTTAGCCGAGCTCCTGCCTGCCTCCGGTGCGCTGCCAGGCAATCCCATCTGAAGCCGTGCGGTAAAGGACGAGTGGAAAAGACCTCTTTCCCCTCGCACACGACGAAAATCAGCCTGTTGTTTCTTTTCTTTGACCTCAATTACTATCAGGGCACGTGTTACTGTAGGGGCATGTTGAGTCATGGCTGCGCTGGGAGTTAGGTGTGTGTGTTCTTGTGTGTGACAGGGATTGTGTTAATGTTAGCCTGGGAGGCACCGTGGAGTCTGTGGGGGCCAAGGTGCTTTAGTCCTGGCTGAGACGAGAGTAATGCTGGGGGCGAGAGGGAGGGGAGGAAACAGAAAAACGATGTTGGACATGACCGGAGCTGCTCTGGACACATTTAGGGAAGAGGAAGTCCTAACATTTGCCTAAAACAACACTTAAAGGACGTTTTTTAAAAACAATTTAGCTAATCTAATGTACAATAAAAACTAGTGAAACAACACTGAAGGGGATAGCTTCAGTGGAGTGGATTTGACTAAGGAAACTAATGTCGTAATTTGCACACCAAAGTGGTTTCAAACATAAGACCTTGCCTCCCATTTCCTCGTTTTTTTCTTTGCCACGGCAACGCACTTAATGAATTGAAGAAGTGATTAATAAGAGGAAAGTGCTTGCTGGATGGAAAGACACTTCACCCCGGTGTTCTGAGTATGTGAATCAAGCCTGTACTTGTGTTTGATAAGTGTTTGTGTGTGTGTACGCAAACATGAGTTTACTCACTGGACTTATATCACAAGGGGGAGGAAGCTGCTGCGCTCTGCACATTTCCTCCCCGATCGAGAGACCGATTTATTAACTTTCACGGGTATTAACTCTCACCATGTCAATACATTGTTAGCGTAGGGAAAGAAGAAGCGATACACTGCTTTTCGATTTCATCAGGAGGATGCAGCTTCCCATGGAAACTGATCAAATATTCAACATGTGCTGCAGAGCCTTATTATGCCTGCACTGCATCTGGTCCTCCCTCTGAGATGGTTTGTTAACACTGAGGAGCTAATTTCCCCGCAGGCATCACAAACACTTTGACTGACGGTTTGAAACTGGCATGTGCCGCCCAGCAAACCTCCATCAGTCTCTCCCCCTCTGCAGGAATTGGCTGCCAATTAATGTCTTCAAATGTGTGTCAGTGCACGCAAAACAAATAGCTCCTTCATCCACCGTGTTGAATGGATATCTGGCTCCTGTCATAATGATTCACGCTAATTGTGCTTAGCAGCATCGTTGGTCAAAAGTGTCAAACGCCATCAAGTGGATTTGAGAAGTTTGTCACGATCGCTCCAGCGGTCAGATCATGAATTCTTCCCGCGGAGGAGCTATCTGTCATCCCGCTGCTCCTTCAGTGAAATGTCTTCTTTACTCTCATTTTTAAAGCTGTCACAGAAGAGGTCTGACCACGCTGGCAATACAAACAAGAGTGATAGCTCGGTTTCCGAAAGCACAAACGTTTATTATGCTGCATTTCACTTAAATGCTCTTTGTGCAGAGTTCTTTGAGAGTTCAGTTATTGGATGCTTTTTTGCATTCTGTTTAAAAAGCCTTTGAGATTTCGCTTGCCTTCGGCCATATGTAAACGTAATTTACTTGGGAGAACAATTTGCCTGAACTGTTTCTCACGTCAAGATAAATATTCCCTCATGCATTATTGAACATTTTTAAGGTTGCAATTCAAAGTGTTCTTGCAAATGACTTTCCCTGCGAAAAAAATAGTCATTTATTGCAAACTAGGAAATGGGTGTGACTGGCTGCCATGTGTCTTATCAAATAACTGTATCCAGATTCATGCGCTAATTAAACACCAGCTCCGGGGGCCGCACCCTTCCACAGACTTGGTAGAAAAAGAGACATTGATGTGTTGAATCAGCTCTTCGTCTATCTTCCATGAATTCAACCAAGTTCATTTAAATGCATCTCCACTCTCGCACACAAACATAACGTTTTCAGATTGTATCATCTTCTGCAGAGCCTCGATAGAATAACACATCACATCCTCACATATTAATAGCCTAAACATTTGTTCTCCTTTATTGGGAACATATTGGGCACTTTACCAGACTTTCTACTGCCTAATTGCAGGGAGCGTGATTATTTATTGGGAAATTACCCGCTGCGTCTGAGCCTCCGCTCTTCAGCTGAAGCCTGAAAGTGATCTGAAGCATGTTCTGAGAGCTCACACACACACACACACACACACACACACACACACACACACACACACACACACACACACACACACACACACACACACACACACACACACACACACACACACACACACACACACACACACACACACACACACACACACACACACACACACACACACACACACACACACACACACACACACACACACACACACACAGTCATTATAATAATGTGTGCTGGTTGACCTTAACTTTTTCTTTCCGACACATCTTCTGAGGAGATTAAATGAAAATACAAGCCCCCTCCGGCCCCTGCTTTGTTACTAATGATGACTTTTAAATGTCATTGTGACTCTTCTCCGTCTACACTTCAGTGTCCGCTGGTTTGGAGCAGGTAATGTGTCATTGACCCTTGAATAAGCTGTGCTTCTTAACACAAAATGTCTCCACGACTCGAAGTATTAACAACCCCGGGATCAAAACTCCTAACTTTTTTCCCCTTTAGAGTGATTTTTTTAAAGCTCTGCGGGGGAGCGACATTTTCCAAATGAGCATTTTTTCCCCCTGTCTGACCTTTCTGCTGCCCTTTGTGGTGAGTAATTGCATTTTTTGAAACATTCATTTGTGAGTTATGTCATCTTGCTAGCACCATGATTGAAAGCGCTGCTCTGTGGCGTGGATGTAATGGAAGCTGGACTCGTTAGCTTCCTCAAACGTCTTCTTTTATTTGTCTCCATATTCTGCAGTGCACCTGTCAGAGGAATTACCCAGGGAGGATCTGCAGAGGGGAAAAAAGAAATGCGCTCTGCATATGAATACCCCTCTGAAGCATTAGAGGGCGAGGGAGGCGGCAGAACGTGAATGGACCTAAGATAAGAGGAGGGACTTTCAATAAGACTATTTCGATTTTCTGCGGCTCTGTTGATGATGTGCCCAGGTAGACAGCGATACGTGCAGCGAGAGGGAGGGGGGGCAGGATGCTTGCTCTGGCACGGAGAAATATGAGCCCTATCAATCACCGCCTCCAGGCACAAATGTAATTACACTACAGTTGTTGACTACGCGGGTAAACCGAGACACCACTGGCATGCGTTTACGTGCTTACATTAGGGGATTGCAGCTGCCCGTTGCACTCTGAGGTTTTTGTAACGCTGCTTTTTGGGACGCTGGCATGAATTTAGGGAATTATTCATAAAGAGAAACCACAGAGATCAAATTAGCCAGGATTCCTCATACATAATAGATTTGTCTAATAGCAACCATTTAACTGGGATCTTTTGTCTTTTGTCATACATCTAAATGCACCATACCCATGTTTTCCTTTTTCGCTGCACAAGAAGTTTGCTGTGATCAGACCCATACTTTTTCAATGGGCGGAATAAATCTTCCCATTAAGAGGAAGATAATTGATGGCTTTCATCACCAGAATGAACACAATTATTCCAATTTGTGCTGTTTCCATGGAAAGCGTGCCTCTCTGTGTTGGGGTCTGAATGATTTTCTGAGACAAATGAAGTGACACGATAATGAGGGGCTTCTTTTGTTGTATATGTGTGATTTCTCTTTGGTAGACAATTAGAGGTGGTACCTGCCTGGAAGACATCTGAAGAAGGGAAAATTGATATTGTGTACCGTAAAAGAGTAAAGTGGTGGGCTCTTAAGAAGAAGGCTCGAAGTCTCTGCAGAGCAGAGAGGAAAGGGAACGTTAGGGGAAACATTACTACATATTTTTTATGTGTTTATAAAAAAATCCATAGCTGCCACAGTCCTCCTACAGTCACTCCGGCCAATGTTTACGCTCCTCGCTCATTTTTTATTCTCGCTATAAACACAGAACTCCTGCAGTCTGTTTGTGCACGAGAGTGTGAGTCTCCACAGACGTGCGTGGGTGAACATGCACAGCTCGTGTCAAAGAGAGGGAAAGCAGCCACCTCTGAGCCGCCGCTGTCGGCCTCCTGGACATTTAAACTCAGCGGTGCTCAGATTTCTCCAAACACACTCTGAGGCATCGAGCACTTCTGACCCTCTGCCTCCTGCCCCTGTGCTTAAATGAAGCGCACCACATCACCTCAAAAGAGTGAAACAGCCCCGATGATTTATAGCTTCTAGTCTGCAGGGAAATGTACACGAGACACTCTGCTCCGGTTTCTTTGTCTCTGCGCTTCTGTCTGTTTGTAATTTCTCAGCTGAATGCCCACATAATGATGTTTATTTCCTCACAGCCACATGCATACACTGTGTCTGTTTCCTTATGTGTGATCTGTGTCAGTGTTTCACTCTCTGTGTCCATCATCCCGCACCACCAGTGGACAACCTCTCTCTCATATCTCAGTGTCAGAACTTTGAGATTCTCCTGCAGGAATGCACAGATTTTCTTTTACTCAGGTGTCAGGATGAATCATTTTCACGCTAAAGCGTAAAAGGTGAAGATAAAAAGATGGATGATGAGCGCTGTGGGCGACAACCACCTGTTGTAGTAATGATAGTGGGAGTAATACCTCATATTTCTGTTTCAGCCTTCAGTCGAGCGCCCATCCCCATGGCGGTGGTCAGGAGGGAGCTGTCGTGCGAGGGTTACCCCATCGAGCTGCGCTGCCCTGGCACTGATGTCATCATGATCGAGAGCGCCAACTACGGGCGCACCGACGACAAGATCTGCGACGCAGACCCGGCGCAGATGGAGAACACGCGCTGCTACCTGCCCGACGCGTACAAGATCATGTCACAAAGGTAAGGGCACGTTGCATTTTGGTAAAGTGTCAGGAGTACATATACTTGCTTTTTGGAAATTGTTACAAACATTTGTAATGAACAAACCCCGGCTAGAATTTTGCCACGCTCAAGTTAGTGGTCCAACATCTTATCAAAAAAAACGTCCAAATCTATTTATGTTTTTTTTGTAAATGCTCTTATTATTAACAAAAACTGCTTTTCAATGATGAGATCATCCAACATGGATTTAACAACACTTTGTTTCCCTTCTCTTTTTGCTGTACTGTGTCCTAGAGCTACATTCAGAGCTCTTTCCTGCAAAGGTCCTTTTAAAGCCCTATGGGTATTATATTACAATAAATGAAAAATGATAAAAAAGGAGGTTGTTTTTAGCCCATGTCAGAATAATGGAGTATGCCTACATTATATGCGTGTATTAATGTGTAAACACACACAGCACCACTCAGAATCAACATCAACTTGCTGCTGTTGAAGTAATTGACTGGAGTCGCCGTGTTCGTTAAAAATATCTTGAAAACATAATCGAATCTGGAGTTAATGAGAGATGCCGTAACGCACACCTGGGGAGGAGTAATGTTTTCTTTATGAAACAACTCTTCTCATTGATCTCACTTCAGAGACCATGGCGATGTAATGAATTTGTGCAAAACTGTCTGCAGAGATAAATATGAGAACTGTTCTTGTAGATTAGCAGAAAACATGAGGGCCGTGTTTACACAGTAAATCATTAGTGGCTTTGGGAAATAAATATAAACATCCGTCCTCTGGGTAACACACTCCTGCTATGGATAAATTGCATCACAGTAAACCTCGGCATACCTGACTGCAAATCTATATTAGTCATACATTTGCACACGAATCAATGTTCATATTAAATAATATGCAGGGTTTTGATAAAGCGATGCCAGAAAACAATATTTCTGTTCGTCAAAAGCAGTATAATCACTCAAAAAATATGAAAATGGTGTATTATTTAAGGTGCAATATATTACTCAACAGCTTTGAGACATGAAGAAACTACTATTTTAACTCGCTAATTCATTATTTTTTCCGGAGAGTGGGCAGGGCCGTCATTTTTGACTGGAAGTGATGTTAGCGTCCTCATACTTTAAAACTCCTGATATGAATATATGATCAGTTTTTTTGTCAAAATGTAGACTCAATGACATGTCTACATACAAGTTTAGATTAGATTTAGATAGACTGATTTCTCCCTTTATTAAGGTGTTAGCAGTTGCTAACATTAAGTTAATACACATAATGTTATAGGGAACATATGTAATGAAAACACTAATGGCTCTTTTTTGGACTTTTTGCTGTACTCTTACTTTTTATGTCCAAAGCTTTAGTTTCTCTTTGGATCCCTTTGAGAATACTAATGGACCTTTGCGCTCTTGGATTATTTTCGTTTGGTGCCATATATTTGAGATAATCAGCGGTGTGAAAAGCAGCTGATGGTAGTTTGAAACATGTTGTCGGATAATTGATGCACCCTGTGGCTCTCTTGTTCTGCTGCCGCCAACTCAGACTGAAAGTCCCTGCAGGAATGAATCAACGGGTCCTGATACTGTCCCCGACACAAAACTAACATGAAGTACCTGGGGGAAAAAAACAGACTCTTTAGCATCCCGTAGCTACTGGGGGCGTTTCAATGATGCTAGAAGGTAGCTGCAGCCAGAGCACTTTGTCTTGGGAAAGGAAGTGGATGAAAGGTGTGGGTGGTATGAATGTCTGCCAGAGCAGGGGTGGGGTGAGAGGAATCAGAGATATTTGTGGCTGCAGTGACACGGCCACACATTAGCATGCGGAGGTTAGCACAACAAACGAACGCCACCCCCGACTTTTGCATTGTGGAGCTGTCAGAGTGGTTGCTAGGCACCTGCGGCTAAGCTCATTAAGGCTATAAAAGAAAATGAGAGCGAAACAGAAGCGAGCAATTTGAACAGAGTAAGTCTTCAAAGACTCGTGATAGGCCGAGGTTAGAACAGGGCACAGATTTAACTCATGATTTCATCTAGACTGATAATGTGATGCGTGAAATGTCACACGTTGAAAGTACCATTAACATGCTTTGATTAGATTTAATTTAGATTTAATAGCACAATATTTATTTAATGTTTTTTTCTTCAGCAGCATGTCTACTTTATAATCTCCAATGAGAGTAGTGATGCAAACACTCTTTAATGAATATTTTAGCTTTATTTCCCTCCCAGTCTCCTTCTCCATGCATAATGTTTACGTGCTCACTATAACCCAATCACTGGAAACAATGTGATGCTGTGATTACAGCACTTACATGAGCGCAATAATCTGATTTCTGCAGTAATTGTGGTTGTGTTATGACTGGGCTTATATCTGGAAGGATGTGTTTTAGTAGACTGCAGAAAGCAAAAAGGAAAACAACACCATCATAGATTACTGAAACAGCTCCTAAGTTGTTATATACTATTTACAAAACCCTTTAACTTCTTTATACATTTTAAATTATATGTGAATTATTTAGTTTCAGTTTAATTGACTTTTGTTTTGACAGATACTTTTTTGTTTTATAAATGTCCTGTTTGTATTGAATGGTAAATGATGTTGATTTATTGTATTGTACCTCCTAATATAATCTATTGATCAACATTTCAATACCTAAAGTGGACCTATTATGCTATATTGGAAATATATATTGTACCTATACAAAACAGTTTTTTGTTTAAAATACCAAACAGATCCCCCATTGTAGCCATGCCTCATACTGCTCATACCCCTCTTTTGCAGCCCTGTTAGAGAAATGCGGATTTTGGGTCCTTAGCTTGAAAAAAAAAAAAGAGGAGGCGGAGCTAATGCCTGATCAGAATTCTACCGGAGATAAAGTTAAATTCTGCTGTGATAAAACGCCATCCTGTTCTAAACCACATCAAAGATTATTTCTGAAACAGTATGGAGCTCAAATTCTTTTTCTCTTGAAGGTTTATCACAAGGTGAGTTCCTTTTTGTATTTCCTGCTTTTTAAACACGTGCTCTTCAGTACAGGTTACAAGAGTGTTAGCTAGGCTCGCTAATGTAAACAAAGACGAGATTACGTCCAAAACACGTCAGGCATTGTTTCTGATAACAATTTTCTGTGGGTCCGCTGCCGATTTGACGTCAGATCGGCAGCAAATCTGTATTCCGCTCGTTGTACCCCTGTTTTTAAAAGATTTGGGTACGGAGGAAAAGAGAGAGGGTTTTATTTTCCGACGCTGCGTGAGTTCCCCGACGCACCGGGACACATATTTATGTATAAAAGACATCACAAAGTGCATTTTGCATGATAGGTCCCCTTTAACTTAAACTGGAAAATTGAATTTTGTGAAATGCATTTCCCCCAGACAAATAATGGTAAGGTTAGGTAAGATTGAAATACAATTCAATAAAATGTTTATACAAACAGTAAGTTAAAATGAAAAATGTGATTGAAATAATAATATATATTATTAATCTAATTAAATATGAATGCTATACATTAATAATACACTGTAGTAATGTGTTATATATTATAGTACAATGAGTAATTAATTAATATGTGAAATTCAAACAAGCTAAACAGGTCAAGTATTAATGTGATCATTACCTTAGAATCTGATCATGCCTGTGAATGCACTGATAGTGTGTTCCTCTGGTGGGGGTCAGCGTCCCACCTGCCTGTCTGCTGGCTCCGGTTGAGTCGTGGTGACTGGCAAACATTCGTTAGCATTCACGTCCCGTCTGAAGAGGAGCCACGCCGCCGCCGGCCTCGTCTGTGTGCCAGGCGCGCATCCATCACCAGCAAACACCACCATGTCACGCGCTCGCAGCCTGTCAATATACATACAGGCAACTCCACCCCCCCCCAACCCACATTGATATTCGCCACTCATGGAGGAGTATACCGGGCAACTTGGGCAATGTGTTTGCCTCCATCACAGTCTCGTAAGCGGGAGCTAATAGCAGCCTGTGTCTGAGTGATAGCGCACCACTGAGCTTGTGAGTGCTGTAATGCATCCCAAAATGAAGGTTGTCTCGCAGCATGCTGTGACAGGATGAAATGAATGGCTCTCTTTCATTAGATGTCCCCCCCCCTAACTTTGTGCTGTGCAGAATCCCCAAACTGCAGAAACATGTCACCTATAGATGATGGCGTGTTGCAAGCGAGATAGAAGCTAATGATGTTGTAATTAAAACACGGTTCTAAGGATTCATTCAGCACAATTTGGGCACATTTGCATATGTGTGTATACTCACACTGCAGTCTGTGGTTTGGCAATCATCGCCCGTCCCTTGTGGGCTATTTTCGGAGCTTATTGTTTGGGCGCTGTTGCATCCGCCTCACTCCAAAAGCATGCATGGATCTAGTGCCATTTCCCAGTGTGTGAAATCACTGGAGAGCCAGGCTACTTGTGCTATCAAACAACAATGACCCTCTTGTCATCAGAGGCCCAGTGTCTCTCTCCTCCCTCTTTCCTGTGTTCCCCTACTCCTTCCCCCAAGGCGCTCTGGCCTTCACGGCCAGTAATTACAGGCTATATCAAAGCTATACATCACCGCGCATCACAGTAGACCTGGACAGGCACCTTAAGGGACAGCTGATAGCACTGTGGCAGGCTGCTGCATGACCCCTGAAGGAGAAAAGCAGGTCAGGAAGGTGCAACACCAACTCACACACACAGTAACACTTGTCTAGTCCCTGTCTTGTCTTTCTATAACTTTCCACTCATTCTCTTTGGGATATGTTCCACTGCTGTGTCATCATACCTCAAGGAACAAAGAAGAAGAGTTTTGTCTGTTGTGTTTGTGCACGTGACACTAATGATGAAGGTTAATAGATATCGCTGCTTGACGAGACTCTTGAGGACGATCAAACTAAATGAGAGCAACCTGTGATGTGAACCTGCTGGCCCGGTGACAGCTGACATTTGACAACCTTGCTGTTAATGATGTTTATGTGGAAAATAAATGCTTCCAGGACATTATTTACCTCTCCACACTCA